CATAGCACCAACATCAGAGGTGCTTTGTGTTCTGCAGGAAGCATCTTAAAGCTTCAGTTGGACCATCAGGTGTTCCAGGTCTCAGAGTAATGAGATTCTGTAGTTCAAAGTTCAGATTGAATTTAAAACAAGAACAACAGTGAAGCATCAGGAACAGACACTGAACACATGATGTGACATAAATGGCCAAATGGCTTTTTCAGTCTTAGCTGAAGAAGTCACGCTTTAGCTTGAAGTCGTGAAAAGAGATTGCCCGACGTTCTCCTTCAGGATTTTGATAGACAGCAGAATTCATGGTTCCAATTACCACAGCAAGTCGAGGTCCTGAAGCAACAAGGTTTTTCCACTGTGGAAGCTAATGAGGATTAAAATGTTTAGTGCATAACCTCTATCTTTGCCAGGATTTAGACGTGACATTGAGGGGGGAATTGGATTTCATCACTAGGTATCACTTAGATAAACATGTGCTTTATTTACCTCTGTGTATTACATAGGGCCTAATAGGAACACTAATTGGCAGAAGTGCACAATAACAAATAGCACCCCCCTCAAAAACCCCACAACATCTGTTACAGTGAATTTGAAGAGTAAAGTTGCGTGTTCATAAAAAAAGTGACCACCAGCGGGCATAGTTTGGAATGCAGATCCTTTATTGAAATTAAGTGAAAATAACACTTGTGCTCTTGTTTTGAGATAGTGTTGTAGTTCTGTAAGAAGATTATTTTCTGCTGAAGAAGTGTGCAATGTAACATATTCAGACACTAACTTTTTACTGCTAATTTCTTAAACATAATGGAGAGAAAGAAATGCTTAAGATAAACCTAATCTAGAGCAAGGCCACCATACTATATGTTTAACATAAAACCTTTGCTTGCTATGTATTTACACGGTTCATCACAAAGCATTGCACAAACTATTACTAAGTAACTCATATTAACTTGTTCAAACGTCAGCACCTCCAAAGTAATAAACTGTCTGATGACGCCCTTATAAACAACTGCAACCACGTGGAAAGTTGGAACAAACTACACAATCACAAACAATATAAACAGGGAAGAAATCAGCAGCAAGCCTTGAATCTTTTTATTGGCTGTACAGTCTTCACAAACGTTGAAACTCACCACCAGATCTATATAATAACTCAACACCACAGTCCTTCCACTATGATCCCTTTCCACACCTCTACCAGCAGTCTCCTTGTGCAGTCAGGGAGTATTTTGATTGGTGGCCAATTTAGTCTGTCAGAGGAGCCCGTCCTTTGTCACACGGCAGATTTCATATTTTAAAGTCCTCACAGCTTCACTTCTGTTTTTTTTCTGTCAGAAGGTGGCGCCATGTTTCAGCTGATGAATATAATTGTATTATTGACCTCACTTCTTCCACCTTGAACACAGAAGACTTTCACTGACTGCTGCAGTAAAGTTAGACTTAGATCACACATTGACCCACATGAATAATATGTTGAACAGCTGGCTGATGATTCGCAGTTTGGGGGATCTAATGGAAATATTGTGCCTGAACTCATCCTCCTCCTTTCAGCTCAATGACTCACAAACTAAGAACCCACAAGCAGCGTCAGCTTGAGCGGGGGACTAAAACGATAATTATCTGTGGTGTTCACACAAACTACCTGATGCTTCCAACCATCGTGAGAGGCAGCTGAAGAAGATGATGCTGGAGAGCTCCAATCCCGTGCATCTCTGCTGTCTTTCTTTCTCGATCGAGAGAAAGAAAGATCCGTGTGTTTTTGTGGGGCGGGGCTAACCATGTGCTGCCTTGCTGTGAAGGTTGGTGTTTCCAGTCCTTTGTTCCTGTCCATCTGAAGTTAACAAGCTCACATTTTTGTCACCTGTTGATCAACTCATTACTACTTGCTCAGTCTTTGACAGAGCATTGAATACAAAGTAAAAAGTAGGTCATTTTTAAAACATTAAACAGCAGTTACAAATGGCTAGAAATATTTATCGATCCATTCGTGTCAGTGTGGTGGGGGCTGGAGCCTGTCCGAGCTTTCATAGTGCGAGAGATGGGGTACACCCTGCAGGGCTAAAACATGGAGACAACCATTCACATTCACACCAGTTAACCTAACCCCACAACTGCATATCTTGGGAGTACCCAGAGAGAACCCACGCAAACTCCACATAGGCCCAGCTCAGATGATGGACTCAGGACCTTCTTGTGAGATAACAGGGCTAAATACTGTGACATCATGCTGCCTGCATTATGTTGCATTATTTCTGTTGAGCAACATTCAAAAGTTATTTATTTGCAGACAACAATAACAATGTGGCGTCACTACTGTAGTGAGCCCAGTGTAGACCTTACATGTAGCAAGGTCTACATTTAGGCTCACTAGCTGAAGTGGGAAATACTTCAAATAAATAAATAAATACTGAGAACTGAGTTGCAAGGATTGTTAGTAACCTTTGATAACTAAGGATGAAGGTCTTAGTCATGTGACGTTGACATCAAATGTAGTGACATCTATATGTAGGCTAACTACATGAAATGAGCCTACATGTAGGACTTTCCCACTTCAGCTATAACAAACCACCTCCCCTCACTTACCAGAAACTCTACTCAGAAATGGAAGCAGAAGAGTTCCCTTAATCCGGTTGTTCAGTCTGACGTCACTAGCCGTGTCTGGACCTAAACTCCGCTGCAGGTCCATATATCAAACGATCACTACGGCATTAGTGAGAGTAGAAAAACTGTCTAAAGTCTTTCATCTTTAATAAAATGATCAGCGTTCTGCTCTACCAGGTGTAACAATTGAGTTTAACATCCAGGCATCCATGAAAACGGAATTTATGACATTTAACGGAAGTTAGCAGGGAGTTAGCTCGCTAGCTTCTATCTAAATACAAGATAGCATGTCCTGACTGTGGGGTTTTGGAAACAAATTAAAACGTACAGCTCTGTTATCACTTCCAGCATACATGAAGACAGAAAACTAAACAGCAGTGACGTTTGTAGGGTTACTGAAGTTGGGCTAGCTGGTATATAATGATGTGCTACGTGACCGCTAGCGACACAGCTATGTTAGCATAATATAAACAAGCTAACTTTTTTTCCACTCAATACAAGTTAACGTGAGTGTTCTCGGTGGTCAGGAACAAATGTAATCGCATGGCAGGATGCTGTAAAAGGACCAAACTTCAGCCAGGAGAACAACTGAGATAATCCATCCACAATACGAGGTTAGTCATTCATATACTGCTGCATGGGCTGGGCTGTAGTTACATCCTAAGGTTTTAAAAACTGAGCTTAAATAAATGATTAGCGGTAATAAAAGCCGAGGGAGGTCAACAGTGATCACTGACTGTTTTAGGAGCTTTTTGAGATTAAATAGAAGAAAATACATAACGTTAAACATGTTAACAACACAAAAGCCATATTAAACGCAGACTACTTTAGGCCCGGAAGTAGGATTTAATGACAGCAAAGGCTTCATTCATTAGTCCATAATTCAGCCACACCACTGGTTGATTCCCATAAATATCCACATGGAGTTGATAAAGTTAGACGAGAAAAAAAAAAAAGACTCTAAAGTAGCTGGAAGCACCTGGAGCTGCTTAAATTTCCACTTTAAATGGAATTTAGCTGAAAAGGAAGGACAACGAAGTGACACCTGGTGGCTGCATGACTTAATACACAGGAAACCAAACCAAATAAAAAATGGCTTGTTCAAGTTTGAGAAAAAGCATTGAAGGTGAGGATTCCCAAATGCAGATGAAAATCTGATATTTCATATATTGTAATTTCACAATCATAAAAATAAACTCTTAATAATGTGAGATTATTATATTATCTTATGCCAAGTTATACCCCTAATTAAAGATTGTGAAATTATTATGTAGTTTTATTTTGCATTGTTCTCCTGAATTAGAAGAAGGGGATAACTATTACATTTATTAAACTGATTTGTATTACATTAGACTGCTGATTTATTGTGAATGGATGATATTGTTTTATGATGCATTATACTGCTGATTTATAAGAAATATTGTTTTCTGAGAATCACGGGCTTGGTGTATTACGATAGCATAAACCGTTCACAAGCTTCTTCTGTCAACTTCCCTTAGTTATATCATGGGATGAGCAGAGAGGCAGGTGTGGGGAAGTGGCAATGCCCCAAAAAAGGCCTGGAGATTTAAAAACCTGAGTGGCCTAGGCTCAAAAACTTTTTTGTACATATTTATTTTAGTTCATATTTAACGTTGATGTCATGTTAGGTTTTGTTCCTGCTGAATATCAGTTTCCACTTAACTATAAGTCTGAAAAAACAGTCAATTTTCTTCCACTTTTGCTGTTGTTCCATTGTCATAACAGTACAATAATGTAAAATGACTGTCAGAAAAAACTGAGGTTATTCTGAAAAAAGGGGCAAAAACATTCACTTATAGTATGATTTCTGGCCATTTTACAGCCAAAAATACCAAATAAGTCCCGGCAGCCTGATACTTGGTCAATAAAGGGCTAAGACTGGTTCTCACATACCAGTATTTAGCCACGTCCCTGCTCAAGATGATTGTAGAAGTTGTGATCAGCTCGACCGCAATAACAGAAAAAAACTTTTAAAGAAGGATCAGAGTTTCTTTTTATTATTCCTGCAAAACACTTATCAAAGTTTTGTGGAGATGACTGTATTTGAAAACCATTTCATTTGTTTACTGCCTCATATACCAACTACTACACCTGCTGCACCCTCTCACCTTTGATGGTGTTTGAGGGAGAGAAACAATTTAAAATGAACATAAACTTAAATGCAACATAAGCATCATGTCAGTGGCTGCCTTATCTGTATGTTTAGGATCATTATCCTCCTGCATTGACTGAAACTGAAGGACTGTTCGTTAACTTCAGTGAGAACTCTGACATTTCTAAACTGAAGTTTATTTATATAGAAGAAAGTGTTAACAAGCTTAAAAGTTGATGTGAGCAGTAAATAAAAGGGTTAAACACACAGTATCGCTCTCAAACTGCTCCTCTTCCTGGAGTGAAGCACAGCCTGATAACCTCCCTCTTCTTCCTGCTCTTAAACACAGCACCTCCTCTCTGTCCACGTGTTTCCTCGTTCCCTCCCCTTCAGATCTGCACTTTGAAGATGGGTGTAACCAACATGTGGTGACGTGTAAGAGCTGACAGGCTCCATTCACTGCAGAAACATGTTGTTGAGATCAGAGCTCAGACTAGTTTCAGTTATAAGGAAGAGAAACTCACACAGTCACTGACACTGAGAGGAGAAATGGCGCAGAAAGGAGTTCAGCTGGACCGAGAAACCTTCTCTTGTTCCATCTGTTTGGATCTACTGAAGGATCCGGTGACTACAGCCTGTGGACACAGCTACTGCAGGAACTGTATTAAAAGTTTCTGGGATGAAGAGGACAGGAAGGGAATCCACAGCTGCCCTGAGTGCAGGAAGACTTTCACACCGAGGCCTGTCCTGGAGAAAAACACCATGTTAGCAGCTTTAGTGGAGCAGCTGAAGAAGAGTGGACTCCAAGCTGCTCCAGCTGATCACTGCTATGCTGGACCTGAAGATGTGGCCTGTGATTTCTGCACTGGGAGGAAGCTGAAAGCCATCAAGTCCTGTTTATCTTGTCCAGCCTCTTACTGTGAGAAACACCTCCAACCTCACTATGATGCAGCTCCATTAAAGAAACACAAGCTGGTGGCCCCCTCCAAGAAGCTCCAGGAGAACATCTGCTCTCGTCATGATGAGGTGATGAAGATTTTCTGTCGTACTGATCAGCAGAGTATCTGTTATCTCTGCACGATGGATGAACATAAAGGCCATGAAACAGTCCCAGCTGCAGCAGAAAGGACTGAGAAGCAGAAGGAGCTCGAGGTGAGACGACTAAACATCCAGCAGAGAATCCAGGAGCGAGAGAAAGATGTGAAGCTGCTTCAACAGGAGGTGGAGGCCATCAATGGCTCTGCTGATAAAGCAGTGGAGGACAGTGAGAAGATGTTCACTGAGCTGATCCGTCTCCTCCAGAAAAGAAGCTCTGATGTGAAGCAGCAGGTCAGATCCCAGCAGGAAACTGAAGTGAGTCGAGTCAAAGAGCTTCAGGAGAAGCTGGAGCAGGAGATCGCTGAGCTGAAGAGGAAAGACGGCGAGCTGGAGCAGCTCTCACACACAGAGGATCACAACCAGTTTCTACACAACTACCCCTCACTGTCAGCACTCAGTGAGTCTACACACTCATCCAGCATCAATATTCGTCCTCTGAGCTACTTTGAGGATGTGACAGCAGCTGTGTCAGAGACCAGAGATAAACTACAGGACATTCTGAGAGAGGAATGGACAAACATCTCACTGACAGTCACTGAAGTGGATGTTTTACTGTCACCACCAGAGCCAAAGACCAGAGCTGGATTCTTAAAATATTCACATAAAATCACACTGGATCCAAACACAGTAAACACACGTCTGTTATTATCTGAGGGGAACAGAAAAGTAACATTTATGAAACAAGAACAGTCTTATTCTGATCATCCAGACAGATTCACTGGATGGTATTATCAGGTCCTGAGTAGAGAGAGTCTGACTGGACGTTGTTACTGGGAGGTGGAGTGGAGAGGAGGAGGAGTTCGTGTAGCAGTCGCATACAAGAATATCAGCAGAACAGGGTTGGGCGATGAATGTGGATTTGGAAACAATGACAAATCTTGGGCATTACGTTGTGTCACAAACAGTTATAAATTTTGGCACAACAATGTCCAAACTGTCCTCTCAGGTCCTCGGTCCTCCAGAGTAGGAGTGTACCTGGATCACAGAGCAGGTATTCTGTCTTTCTACAGCGTCTCTGAAACCATGACTCTCCTCCACAGAGTCCAGACCACATTCACTCAGCCGCTCTATGCTGGACTTTGGCTTTGGAAAGTTGGAGTCACTGCAGAGTTGATTAAAGTCAAATAGAGAAGACAGGTTCATGTTGATCCCTGACCATTATATGTACTTGTGTAGTTTCTAAATGAGGCTTTACATTTTAGAAGCTGAGAAGTTCAGTGGTCCATTGATGTGTGAAAATAATATTGCACTGATTCAAACTGTACTTACATTTATATACCTTACATCAATATAAATCTGAATGTGTTCTCATGGCTGATAATCATGTGAGTTTAAATGATACTACTCTTCATATTCAGCATGTTTGAAATCTGTCATCAGTCTGGTTAGTGGTTTTATTCTGTAGTTGCTGTAGTGGGTTGTCAAATGCAACAATATATTGGAGCTGCAGTGATTCATCAGTTAGTCAATGATTAGAGAATTGATTGTTTTATCATTATTTTAGTCACATTTAAAGCTGCTTCCAGTTTCTGAAATGTGAAGATTGTTGATTTTCTTGATCATATATGACTGTAAACTTAATGTCTTTGAGGTTTGAACCTTTAAAATGTAACAAAAATTAAATAGTTAATGTTTGACATTTAATATTATTTTTCATATGAAAGGTATTTTCACACTTGATCATTTATACATTTAAATATAAAACTAAATAACACAGGCCTGTATATTGTGGAGACACATGGGTCTTTGCCCTGAGCTGTGTCTGGCAGGCAGAGCGTCTCCACAAATCTGAAGCTTCTGATTTGGAGAAAATGAGCTGAGGGAGACACCTGGTGGACAAACACAGACATGATAGGAAGAAAGACTAAAGTGCAGAGTGGAGACAAACAGCAGGAAATACTTGTTGGAAAGGATTGTCATGCTTCAGAAAAACATACAGCACACACTCTAACAGTCCTTTATTTGCACTGAAGGAGACACGTGAAGAAACCAAATCACACAATAATGAAGTGAACACATTTATAGTCAGTGTTCAAGATGATGGATAGAAATGAAAATCATGAAGCATTTGTTCACGTTAAGGTCTGTTTCTTACAGCAGAAGCAGCATTTACATGAACTCACTGGCCTTTTTCCACTGAACGCTCTCTTCTTCATCAACTCATCTTCCTAAAAAGTGGATCTACCAACAGTTTATTTCTTTGTTATTATGATTAAAATGTCAAACAAATATATTTTCCACTTTTGGTGGAAGGCAGGAATTTCTCTGTCCTGCATGTGGAGAAATCTGCTGTTAAATCAGAACATTAACAGGTTTCAGGTTGTGTTCAAACACATATTACTGTGTATCATGTGTCAGCAGGCATGTGTTAACAGGGATTATAAGACACTTTAGTGGCTTTAATGCATATTTATATGTGTAACATATTTCTGTTTGTTCACATATAAAAACATGTGTTTTGTGTCTGTTTATCTTTGACCTTGTAATTAGTTCCTACGGTGAATTCATCATGTAAATCTCTAAAAAAGTGGGAACAGTGGGACCCAGAGCCTCCACAGATTAAAGAGGAACAGGAGGAACTCTGCAGCAGTCAGGAGGGAGAGCAGCTTGGACTGAAGGAGACCATCTGGAAACCTGAGATAAAGTTATACAGAATAGGTATGTAAAACTGTGATGTTTTACTAACAGTAAATGTTACTCATGGGTGTCACAGAGGAACAGTGGTTAGCACTTCATGGCATTTCAAGTATAACCAAAACATTTACCACTGTGTAAGAGAGCTCTGCCCCAGCATGCCTTCTTATTACTGTGCCAATCGAGACATCCACATTCATTTAACAAAAAACAACAACATCTATTTATTTCATACATCACAGATATTCACATATGAAGCTGAACCTTGAACTTTGCTAATAAGAGTGTCAGAACTAAACATTTGCATCAGTGCCCGAATAATTTGTCATGTTTTTACACTTTAGTGGCATATGTGAGCAACATGCTCGCTATGTAGAGACCTGCTAATAGTTCAGGCCACTAAATATTTTCTCAAATGTTTGTTTTGCCATAATTTTTTTCCCTTTGTGCCTTCAGATGTCCAACAGCAGCATGCTTTTGAGAAAGAAGAGGTTTTAACCGACCAGCAGGTCTGTAACCAGCAGAGGAACTCCAGTCTGGACCAGGAGGACCCAGAGCCTCCACAGATTAAAGAGGAACAGGAGGAGCTCTGCAGAAGTCAGGAGGGAAGCAGGAGACTGATACTTTCATGGAGACTCCTGCTTATGGGGAAAGTGCCCACAGTGAACCAGAACCAAACAGCGAGCAGCTCCTTTCTCCCAGCTCTCCTGAAGCAGAGAGCCGAGATCATGAAGAAAATCAGCATGTGGACTCAAGATCAACTAGAAATGCAGAGCTGAAGAAGAGACGTCACAGAAAGAGAAGTCACAGTCAGAGAGTAGACAACACTCCTGTGTCAGTCAGTCAAAGTAGAACGGACGCAAAGAATAAGTCTGTACAATGTGACATGTGTGGAAAAACTTTGCAGAATAAATACAAAATGACTAGACATCTAAGAATTCACATGGGAGAGAAACTGTATTCCTGTAGCACCTGTGGGAAAAGATTTGCTGTCTCATCAAAGTTGAAAACGCACATGAGAATTCACACAGGTGTGAAGCCGTATTCTTGTAGCAGCTGTGGGAAAAGATTTGTCCAGAGGATACACTTAAAGAATCACATGAGAATTCATATTGGTTAAATGTTCATACTTGTAAAATGTGGGAAAACTGTGAGTCATTGCTGGACACCTGAGTGAAAAGATGATTCATATTTAAGTCAATATTTTAGACCCAGAACAGTAAAGAAATGTCAGCATTGTTTGTTCAGTTTATTACCTTATTATGTTAATTGTAACAGGGAAAGTTTGATCTGACATTTCACCAAGGTTAAAGTTCAGTGTGCTCCTGTTCTGCTGGTTCATTGTTTAATTTTATTGATTTAAGTGTGGTTCATGTGTTTTTTAAGATTTATTATGATTATGATTTTTTTCTTACAAAGATGATAATCTCAAATGTGTGAAAGCAGCATAACAGAGTGTTCTGCCTTATTTAACACAGGTTTTTCTTTGTGTTTCTGACAGCGGCATTCCATCAGGACAAGCTTGCCCTGTCAAATTTAAACAATACTGATAAATTTAAATGTACCAAAGTAAAGCGATGTCTCTCCTTTCATTTCAGACAGCACAGTCATAAAGCTCCTCACTTTCATTTAATGTTTAATATATTTATGTTACTGCCGTCTTGTGGCTGCAGTTGGTTATTGTCACTGAAAGCTGTTCTTCTTTCATATGTAGTTATCTTGGTCCATGTGTACGTCTCCCATTAACAATGACTGGAGCTTGTCAAGCTGTGAGGCCAACAGCTTGTTTCTGGTGGTTTGTGCGAGTTAATTGCCCCTGTGAAATGAAGTTATTGGCTCAAATTATGTTTTTTTTTTTGTTTTTTGTTTTTTTGTTGTGTGCAATTTATGACATGAAAGTAATTTCATAGTTTAGACCAGGGGTAGGCGACGTTTCTGATGAGGAGTGCCATCTAAAATTTCCACAGAAGTCAATATGCCGTATGATTGCATTAGCAATAAATTTAATAACGCTCTACATTAACAGTTGCACACTATATAGAACAACATTATACAATTATATTTGTTCGCAGATGTTTGATATGCTGCAAATAAACTCAGCCGATATGGCATGTTTGTTGATACAGGGATACAAATGTTAATGTGATCTTTGAACTTTGAAACTTGAAACTTTGCTAGACCCGCCCCTGCACAGTTACCAGCTGTCAGTGACTTAGAAAAGGATCCTGGTGTTATTTGTCTCTCAGAAACAGCTTATAACTTCCCTTCAACTCATTCATGTCGCCTAAAAGGTAAACAAGCAAGAGAGATGGGACTTGTGTTAGAAATGCTGATCAGCTGATCATTGATCAGTTTTGTGACTGTCTACAAGACGAACTGCCAACTCTTGAGCCACGATCGCCCCCATGATGGATGTTTTACTGTCACCACCAGAGCCAAAGACCAGAGCTGGATTCTTAAAATATTCACATTAAATCCCTACAGCTTCCTCCCACAGTCCAAATAAATGCACTTAGTGGGGATAGGTTAATTGGAAACACTAAATTACCCATAGGTCTGAATGGGGTAAATGTGAGTGTGACTGGTTTCCTCTGTCTATGTGTTAGCCCTGCGACAGACTGGCGACCTGTCCAGGGTGTAATCTGCCTCTTGCTCAGCTGGGATAGGCTCCAGCGCCCCCAGGGGACCCTAAAAGGGTAAGCAGAAGTGAATGGATGGAACTACAGTCTTATTCTGATCATCCAGACAGATTAACTGAATATTATCAGGTCCTGAGTAGAGAGAGTCTGACTGGATGTTGCTACTGGGAGGAGGAGTCTAAAGAGCTTGGTTAAAGGAAAAAGACATGTGGAAAATCTTTCTTCCTGAATTGATTACTACAAAGGTAATCATGGAACTTGCAGATAAGAAACAGATTTATAAATCCAAATGTGATCAAATAAAGTGCAACAACATAGAAAAAAAGCAACCTATGTCAAACACTCATCTCTGAACTTGAGTACACATGCTTTATTGCACTCTAGGTTTGTGTATTTCAAATAAACATTTTCTGTCTTACAGTTGTTTATTGTACAAAAATATAAAGCCAACATTCGTCTATTCTCCTACTCCTAATTTTGTTTTATGTATGTAGCTAGAGACTGACCACATATGCAGTGTTACGTTTCGGTGTTGTCAGTGTTTTGTTTTTGTGTGACTGTTATGTATTTCCTGCTTTACTTTGAAAGTCTGTGTTATTTTAGTGTGTTCAGTTTACATTTTCCCTGTCTCGTCAGTTCTAATTTGCCCCAGCTGTGTTTCCCTCCTGTGGTCCATTCCCTAATTGCTCCTTCTATGTATTTAAGCCCTGTGTTTCTGTATGTCAAGGTCGCGATCTTCCCCCCCGGTGTAAATAGTTTGACGTTTGGTGTTTTGTTATAAATAGATTTGTCGATACTTTCGTTTCGGGATTTTGGTGGTGAGCTTTAGTGGGGTTTTTTTGTGTGTGTTTTTTTTTTTTATTTTTACTTTTTTTCGTGTTGCACTCCGGTTGCCTAGGCCGGGGTGTAACATATGGGGGCTCGTCCAATCGCTGGGGGGTCCGAGGAGGGACGGCTTCGGCCTTCTGTCTTCGCTGGTGGGTCCGGGGACCGCTTCGGCCTCCGTCTGTCTTCGCTGGAGGGCCCGGGGACCGCTTCGGCCGTCTGTCTTCGCTGGAGGGTCCGGGGGCCGCTTCAGCCGTTCGCCGTTGCTGGAGGGTCCGAGGGAGGGCCGCTTCGGCCTCCGTCTGTCCTCGCTGGAGGGTCCGAGGGAGGGACCGCTTCGGCCGTCTGTCTTCGCTGGTGGGCCCGGGGGCCGCTTCAGCCGTTCGCCGTTGCTGGAGGGTCCGAGGGAGGGACCGCTTCGGCCCGGGGTCCGCTCCAGCCTTCATCCGCCTTCGTTGGAGGGTCCGTGGGACCACTCCAGCCTTCGTCGTCTGCTGGAGGGTTAGGGGGACCGCTCCGGCCTCCATCAGTTTCATCTGCCTCCGCTGGAGGGTCCGTGGGACCGCTTCAGACTTCATTTGCCTTCGCTGGGGGGTCCGAGGGACCGCCTCAGCCTTCGTCGTCTGCTGGAGGGTCCGTGGGACCGCTCCAGCCTTCATCCGCCTTCGCTGGAGGATCCGAGGGACCGCTCCAGCCTTCTGCAGCTGGTGGGCTGCGTGTCCGTGTGTGCAGCTGGTGGGCTGCGTGTCCGTGTGTGCAGCTGGTGGGCTGCTCGTCTGCCTTCGCTGGAGGGTCCGTGGGACCGCTCCAGCCTTCATCCGCCTTCGCTGGAGGGTCCGTGGGACCGCCCCGGCCTTCGTCGTCTGCTGGAGGGTCCGTGGGACCGCTCCGGCCTCCACCAGCCTTCATCCGCTTTTGATCAAACATTTCACTTGGGGTTACATGTTTGATTTTTGGGTAGGGGGAAATGTTACGTTTCGGTGTTGTCAGTGTTTTGTTTTTGTGTGACTGTTATGTATTTCCTGCTTTACTTTGAAAGTCTGTGTTATTTTAGTGTGTTCAGTTTACATTTTCCCTGTCTCGTCAGTTCTAATTTGCCCCAGCTGTGTTTCCCTCCTGTGGTCCATTCCCTAATTGCTCCTTCTATGTATTTAAGCCCTGTGTTTCTGTATGTCAAGGTCGCGATCTTCCCCCCCGTTGTAAATAGTTTGACGTTTGGTGTTTTGTTATAAATAGATTTGTCGATACTTTCGTTTCGGGATTTTGGTGGTGAGCTTTAGTGGGGTTTTTTTTTGTGTGTTTTTTTTTTTTTTTTTTTTATTTTTACTTTTTTTCGTGTTGCACTCCGGTTGCCTAGGCCGGGGTGTAACAGCAGTAACAAATAAAAACATAAATAAGCAAGCTTATTTTTTTTTTCCATATATGTCGCAGTTACACATGCGACTCTCCCCTCTTTTAACAGCTGACAATAAACAGTTTTAATAACAAGAGCTGCTTATAAGCTAACATGATGCCAGCTAATGCTAGGTTCCAGTGTCTGAAAAAATCACACTTTCCCTCTGATAAATTGTTTGAATACATTCTCTCATAGCACGAAGGTTTCTTTGCTAAGTTTCCAAGGGCAGTTATGTTGGATCCACGTCATAGAAGGTTTCTCTAATGCTGCCTAAAACAAGAGGCTAACAGCACTCTACTGCCAGTGCTGAGATTTTACACACCGTACCTCTAAGCTCATTTTTGGTGATACCAGAATGATTTGGTGTAAGGGAGATAAACAGAATTCCCACGAATCCAGGACTATCCAATACTGCTGCTCCCTGGTTAGTGCAACATAGGCAAAACTGCTGGAGTTATAAAAGTTCAGTCCCTATAGAGAACTGAGGGAGTTCATGACTTCACAAAAGACCGAAAATACAAATCAGGAGTCACAACTGTAAAAAAAATAAAAATAAAAAAAAAAAATAATAATAATAATAATAATAATTGTACTACTCCCACAGATGAGCAACTTGAAACTTGAAATTCTGGATTTATTTATTTATTCATTTGTTTATTTTTTTTTAATCTGAAAAATCACGACTTAACTTTTCACAGAAACAGTGAATACTTAATAGTATTTCCTCGGAACCTGCTTTTGTCTGATCATTTTTTGTCAGTGTCCCGGCACACTGCTGCAACAAACAAGTCAGTTTATTCTGAACTGGGTGATGACTCCTTTAAATGAAAATTAGCTTGTAGCTTGTTATCTGTCTAATGATGTGACTGGATATGTGAGCTCAAATATTATTTGTTGAATTTAGCCTGTTGCATCAGTTGCTCACTTTCTCTTATCTCGGGGTTAACAAACTCAGTTGTTGCTTACTCTGCAGTCTGGAAGAGGACCCTGTACTCTGCACAGACTTGGATGAGCTTTGTTAAACGAGGTTCATGTTAACAGTTTAAATTACGCATTTTTTGGAGGCAGTGACAACCAAAGACAACGGTGTTTGTTACAATCTGAGAAAGGAAGAAGCAACCCATGTATGTTTGTATAATGTTTTTCTGCTTCTATTGCTACTGTTAGTGATGAAAAAGCAAGAATGTGCATAGACTATTATTAGTACAAGTAGTAGTAGGATTAAGTAGTAGTAAATTATTAGATACATGAGAATTTGTAAGTTTTTGAGATTTCTATATCATCAATGTGATTTTTGTTTTTCCCACCAAAACACTTGTGATGCAAATTCATATTTATTTTTTTATCTGTCAGGTTCAATAAACACTACATTTTTCACTCTAATTTTCTGCCAATTATTTTATGATTAATGCTTTAAAGAGTTAAAGAGGTTGTGTCATTAACATAATGCTTTTAGAGGACTGTAGCTCATTCTGTGTGTCTGTAGCAAAGTATTTAAACAGTTAAAAAAAATTCTCAGTTTAAGTAACAGGTACAAAAAAAAATCCTTGAAATGAAGCTCAAAAAATCTAGAGAGAACTATGGTGCAAGTTGATTTCGAACTTATTTTCATAAAAAGGGCGATCGTGGCAGTTTGTCTTTTAACCAGAAGGTTGCTGGTTCTAGTCCCGGCTCGGACAGTCTAGGTTGTTGTGTCCTTGGGCAAGACACTTCACCTACTGCCTACTGGTGGTGGTCAGAGGGCCTGGTGGCGCCAGTGTCCAGCAGCCTCGCCTCTGTCAGGGTAGCTGTGGCTACAATGTAGCTGCCATCACCAGTGTGTGAATGAGTGGAAGGCTGAATGTGTAAAGCGCTTTGGGGTCCTTAGGGACTAGTAAAGGGCTATATAAATACAGGCCAAAAATAGCATTTTGATGGTAAACACTCCTTTAAACACCATCACAGAAAACAGATTTCACAGTGTTGCTGTTTTCTATATGTTGAAACATATAGAAAACCTTGTGTCAGATATATATTTTTGCAACTCTGAATATAAAAAAAAATATGTCAAATATTTTGAGAGCAAATTTTTCTTCTGGTTGCTTCCAATGCTGTGTTTGTAGTTCATGTAGTTTTGGTCAGTCAGTGTAATAATCAGCATCATGAACAGAATCTGATGTTGTGACGAGTGAATGAAGTCAGACTGTAGATTTTCATTCTTCTAGCTGTACTGACTGACCTTTGACCTCATGTGTTGATGACTCTTCACCTCTGTCTCCTCTCACAGGGAGAAGATGATCTGCAGGATCCTGCTGCTCATCATCCTCACCTCATGTGTCTCTGGTTAGTTTACAGCTTCACTTTATGAACTCCAAATAAAGCTCAACAACAGATTTGTTGCAGTTCTCAGTGTGTCTGCTCCTCTCTTTCCCTCTCTGTCTCCTCAACAGGATCATTTGTAGTCAATGTGACACAGACCTCCTATCAGGCAGAGGAGAACCACAACATCACACTGGAGTGGACGTTCACCATCATAGATGACATGTCTTTGATTAGTGTCCTCTGTTATCAGAAAATTGAAGAAAAAATAGTAGTCTTGTACAATTTTGTTCATTATTTTGAGGTGTCAGAGTCTCAGGATGAAAAGTTTTCAGGACGAGTCCAGAGTGACAAAGACGCCCTCAGAGAAGGACGAATCAGACTGCAGCTGTCCAGACTCAGGACTGATGACTCAGGTCTTTATGTTTGTGCAGTGTTTACTAACTACTCCTCAGGTTCAGCAAAATGTGATCTCAAAATCACTGGTAAGTTTATTCAGTAGAATTAATAGACTTTTCAATTTTCACTCTTTCGCTGGCTGGACTTTTAATCTGCACTTGATGGAGTTTAATTGTTGAGAATTTTATTATTAGTGAAGATCAGCTTTCATAATTAAAACACATTTCATGCATGTAAGACAAACATCAAAATGTGCTCATGCTGGACATGAACATATGTTAACTGTTTCTTTCTTCTTCTTTTTTTCTTTCTTTTTTTGTCTTTTACAGCAGCTGCTGATCAACTCAGAGATCGACTTTAACACCCAACACAGTTGGGAATGGCACTGACAGCACCACCTCTGATGTGGTGTTTGCCATAATTCAGAAAGAAAGTGCAGACACAAGACTTATTTATAGCTGTAGAGATGAGTTTCTCAGATTACAAGTAATAAATCCAAGTTTCTTTGATGATTTTACATCTCATCAATACCAAATAATTTAATTCCAATTTCTTGTTTAAAATGTATTTTCTGTTTTTTTACAACCTGCAAAATGATCTTTAAAGAAGTTAATTATAGGATTTGACAAAAGTATTTTTTGTTATGGTGTGCTGGCTCTGTGAAGAAACAATACTGGCTTGATCAAGGCTTTCTGTGTTGTGTAAAAATCAACAAAAACAAAACATCAGCTATTTAACACTAATAAAGTGATTGAAGACACTGAGACCTGAGGGCCATGGCCCTAAGAAGAAGCATAAATACTCACAGACAGGTAGTCAAAATTGTTTTATAGTTTTGATATGGACCAAAGAATATACAGATGACTTTCTGAAAAGGTTTGGTGTGAGTAAGGCAGCAAATGGAATTAAACCCAAAAATTAGTTAAGTGAGAGACATTTTTAACCATCAGGATAATAAAGAGAATGAAGAAGGGATAACAGTGAAATTCTGAAAAAAAATAGTTTTATTTGAATCAATTTGATTTTTAACATGAAACAAAGTAACACTTCTCAATGTTTTTTTTTTTAACATTAGTCAGAAAATTATATATTTATATATCAGTTTGAATGAGCACTTTGAGCAAAATGGCAGTGGTGAAATGTATTTTTAGTTAGCTTCTGAAAAGAAACCAGTTTATTAAAAAAATGACAAAATAAATGTAGGTTAAAAAAAACGAAAGCATTTAAACATCTAGTAGAATGGAAACCTCCAGAGTCACAAAATTAAAATATAGAACTTGAATAAATGTGAATAATTCACAGTATTCTACTAAAAAAAATATATCGTGTACAAAAATATTTACAGCAATTATGACACAGAGTGTATTTTTATAGTTCAGAGATTTCACAAATCTCCCTGTAGGTTTAGGGGAAACTAGCCTACATCGATAATTTGAGAGTAACAGTTGTCACTGCTAAAGCTAACTTTAATCTTGTTTTATGATGCTTTAGTAAATAAAATGAAGTAGAAAAATGCTACATTTTAGGAAAAAACTCATTTGATTTAAGTTTGATGTGCTGATAATGTATAAAACAAACAAAAAAATCATAAGGAAGCGTTAAAGCTAGTTTTATGTTTATTGGTAATGAGATGTGGTTCCCAAATGAAGCATCATTCTTGTGTATGTCCATTTGCGTCTTGGGATTACAACCATAACTTATTATTGCAATATTAAACTGTACAAAAAGTTAATCAACTGTTTCCTATATGAGTACTTTGTACACACTAATTTCCCCAAAAATAATCTGACTTAAAACCAAACATCTCTTCTGAGAAAACTTTAGCCTACTTCAAAGGATGTTAGATCTGAGAGGAACTGCAGCCAATCTATACGCTCATGAAGTGATGACATTTGGAAAAAAAAAAAAAGTTCAGGCGTTATTGCTTAGTCTAGATGTCACAAATAAGCTACCTTGCTTATTTTACTTCCTTTGGTATGAAGTTTGCAGTGTGGTTAGGCAACAATAATAATAAGTCAGTTAAATGCAGGAAAAGTTGTGATTAACATTTCTTCCATCCTTCTTTTTCTTCGATGCAATTTTGGACTGCCTCTTTGAGCTTCCCAAATTGCTCAGTTTCAAACAATTCAATTAAAATCAGTTTAAAGTCCTTCATATAGTCTTAGAAAAAATACTAAATGAGACCAATAAATTTGAACAAAAACATATAAAAACACAATAAGAAATCAGTTAAAGCTAGCTTCATGTTTACAGGTTGATGTTAATTCCTTGGTTGTTCACTTCACAATCCATACTAGCTTTGGGGAAAAAAACACATGTTGTGCTCATGTCCATGTGCTACGAAAGACAGTCTCTGCCTATATGTTGATGGAAGAGGATAACATTCAAAGTGCTAAGAGGAAGAGGAGGATAAAGAGAATGGAGAGAAGGGGAAGACCGAGGAAGAACCTTCAGAAGAATTGAGGAGCTGATCACACCATGCCGGCTCGTCCAGGTTTATTTCAACAAATGGGTCACTGGAGCAAACTGCTGTGAGAGAGGACAAAGATTGGGATTGAAGAAGACAGTGGATTGCAAAATGGAAAATGCCAACTTATCTGCAAACACCTAATCACTGTGCAGCAGTAAAACATTAAAAAAGTGCCACAGAAACAGACAATGTTCACTTTTAGAGTAAAACTGATGGATCACTTCTGCAGCCAACACTTTTAAAATGCAGACATTTTCATTTAAAGCTAAATGGTCTCTACCTTCAGTTGGTCACTGACCTGTTGCTACTGTAGGTCTACCTTTTGAATTTTGCATGAAGTAAAAACATTTCAGGAAAAAAGTCCACATTTGGAGGTAGGGATTGATGAGGGAGACATAATTCACATCACTCCTTAGACCAGCGACCACAGTAAGAGTCTCATATACAGCTGTGGTTGGACGTTTCCATGCACTCATTATCGGCATGAATGTCATGGTAAATAGTCTGACAAGGATAAAGCCTATTAAATTTTTAATTGTAATCATGGTTGACTACAACTGGCAGGTTTTCTTTGCCGCATAAAACAATTTGTTTAGCAGCACTTATTGGAATAAATATAGGGGCAATCGTGGCTCAAGAGTTGGCAGTTCGTCTTGTAGTCGGAAGGTGGCCGGTTTGAGCCCCGACTCTGACAGTCTCAGTCATTGTGTCCTTGGGCAAGACACTTCACCCGTTGCCTACTGGTGGTGGGCAGAGGGCCCGGTGGCGCCGGTGTCCGGCAGCCTCGCCTCTGTCAGTGCGCCCCAGGGCAGCTGTGGCTACAATGTAGCTTCATCACCAGTGTGTGAATGGGTGGATGACTGGATGTAGTGTAAAGTAAAACGCTATACAAATACAGCCCATTTACCATAAAGAGTTGAGCCATATGTATACAAAGAATTTCAGTGAATATTTCATGTTTTGTCTTTAGACATACATAGAAGCGAGTTATATTTTGGAGCTTCATGGTAAACTTTCTCGTGCAAGTCCTGCATGATTTCTGAAAATGCAATAGAGAAATGACCGTACTGCTTTGTGTTTGTATTTGCATTATTAAAGAAAAATCTTACTTGGGTTGTTGTTGTTTTCATTCTGCTGCTCCCCAATAGCATCAAAGAAAAGGCTGGTACTGCTCGGTGGGTTGGATATCTTGTCAGCTTCATCGCTACTCAGTGAGGGAGTGGTGTTTTCAGCGGGTGAAGTCTCCACACCATTTGCTTCTGGCTGTTCCTCAGGAGCTGAGTAGAGAGGTCAAACAGAAGACAAACAGGATTTGTAAGATAAGGTGTAACTTTCTTTAGTGCTGCAGAGTTTTGGGTAATCCCCGCAATGCTAAAGATATTATTTAGTGTAGTTTAAAGCCCTTCCCACAACATACAGTACTTTTTTCGAAACATGTAATTTGCAATCTTATTTGTAATTTGTAATCTTACTGTGTCTCTGTCCTACCCAAATAATTTTACTTTACTTCTAAAAAAATAACTTATTGATGACAAAATATCTTGCCTTGTAGTTTAGGCTGTTTAGAAATAATGGCGTAGTGTGGAAGCATATATTCTTGGACCTCTCTGGGCCGCTTATTACAAACAGAGCATTGTTTAAATCCTACTTTAGTGTTGATGCTGATCATGAGTAAAACACAGTGTCACAAAGCTCAAATCTCTCAGTGTGGTTTCTTGTAAATGACAATGCATTCACAGTACTCAGAGGCAAGAAGTCATGAAGTACAAATACATAGTTACTATACCTAAGTAGAATTTTCAGGTATCTGTACTTCTGAAAAACAGTTTCATTTTGTACCGTTCTCTCCAGTGGAGTCCTTTTCCTCCGACTGTAGACTCGTGCCATTAGCGACCGGTGGAGGTGAAAGGTCATCGGTGGCTTCAATATCTTTAGGTACCGGTCGCTCTGAGATGTGACACACATACAAACGCCAAAGCAAACTCATTAGGATCATCTTAAGTGCAGACATGTATATATAAAATTTAATTCCACAGAAACACACCCAGATCATCCAGGTAGACTGGCTCAAAGGTGCCAGTGGGCTGGTTGAGATGACCAACAGGATTTGGACGCTGGAGGTCAAATGAATATGTCTGCACAAACAAACAAAAAAGCAAGCAAGATACTAATAAGCGAACATGATGTGTGTGTACCTGTTTTAATTGTAATATAATAAGCAAAGGCTAAGTGCACAGAAAACAATTTCTACTTCCATTTCTTTTTCTTACCCTGGAGGCTCGCCTCAAGAGGTAGAGGATGATACACAGAATTATAATCACTATGATGATAAGCGCCAGGACAACATAACCTAGAGACAAAGATAAGCAGAGCTGTTTTAAAAGAAGTGGTAATAACATTGGGACCACCCAAAAAAGGGAATGGGCTCTAAAAATTTAATATTATGCTGTTATTCTTACATTGTTAAACTCCTTAGAACATCACTTAAAAAAATATAAAAACTATTTAAAAATTCAAAAGTAGAATTGTAGAGAAATTACAGTGTCAATTTCTTATCATGTAATCAGCATTGCAACCACAGGGGGACACTAGCATTTTTTATGGTTGATTTTTTTTTAGTCCCACCAAGTAAGAAAAACTAAAAGGTGTCTCGCCCAGGCAGCATACATATTTGAGCCAAATCTAGCCTACTTTTGGCACTGGCCAGTGTTCTGTGTGGCATGTCGTGTCAAAACTTTGGTGGAACTGTGGCTGAGTAGTGGTAACCAGGCACATCCTGAGTAAGTGCTGCCAGTCACAACCCAAGGCAGCTCACAGGAAACCACTGATATGTGCCAAAAATCCGTTAACATCTAAAAAAATTTAACTGTTTTGTTTTTTCTTTTGTTTTTTTAAAATATAGATTCTAGATCCTATTTATTACCACTGAAACAACTGGCCACTGTAGTTTTAAGAAGTTCACTACAACATTAGTGTCCATTTGGACAGTTGAAAATGATAGCAGAATAAAACAGACAGATGTTTAAATACATAATAGATAATATAATAAAGATTCTTACCTGCAGACGAGCCAGGTGGAGGGGGTGCTAAAAGAAACAAACAGCAGGCTCAGTAATTCAGCTAAAGTCAGTTTATGTTTTTTTATAATAGAAAAGTGAAGCAAATTCACTTTATAGGTAAAAGCGTAGCATATGTCTGAATATTTAAATTACAAGAGGATGAGCATTTGATTTTTCTTTAGTTAATTTGCAACATTTACAAGTGACTTTCTGTTTAGCAGGCACTATTTAAGCATTGTGATTCAATTTAAGTCAGTAACTCCTTTCCATCTATCCATATCTCCTGTTAGTATCCATGTGATTACTATTCAGAAGCTGCTTTTCAAAAAAAAAAACTTTAAGGATTATTTCGGTTTAATATCCCAAAGAATCGATTAAGGTGTTCCACAAGGATCAGTACTGGGCCCCTTTTAATACTTGTTTGTTTACAATTTTATTACAATGATACTTTTATATCTACTACTTACGTACTTTTATATCTACCCCTCACCAGGTCTGCCTTTGTTTTAGTCCTGTCTATAGGAAATACCCTAAAACCTGCAAATTAAAATACCCTGAACTTTGGTTCGATTGCAGGCTGTCCAACAAAGTTCAAACTGAACTTGGAGTGTATTTCTATTTTCAATAGGACGATATGTTTTTCTCTCTACTACACATTAAAATTACTTTTTCTAATCCACAACAAGAACTATCTAGCTAATGGCCAAGTTTAAATAAAGCAATGAACCTATTTCTATTTCATGTTGACTTTGTGATTTCCAAACATATTTCTGCTGATATGTTGCTTCTTTTGGATTATTTATAATGTGACTAACCCTTATTCTAAATCTTAGTTAACTTTATTGTTTTAATTGTCTTTAAAATGATAGATAATGATAGATAAAGATGTTTTACATGTTACATGTTTTGAGCACTATATATCATTTTAGATACAAGAGATCAAAAGTCAAGCAGAAACTTACTCCTTCTGCTTGACAATATGGCTCAAATGATTAACCTGAATTGATATTTAAGTCCTAATTTTAAAAAAGAAAGAGGAAAAAAGGGGTACAAGTATGCTGCTTTGTGGTCCTTTTATGTGATACGGTGACGTGCCACTGTGTCTGAATATTCAGTTTGACTGTGTGTTAGAATAGGGTGAGAGTGTTTGAGTGGTTGTGTCTGCAGCCTGCTTACAGCTACAGAGCGTGTGAGCCTGCGAGTGTTGTGGTTTGGTGCACAGGAAGACAACTTGGGGCGCAGAACTTGTGCATGTGCTTTCTGAATATGTGACGGTACCTGTAGTTCCTGAGCTGGTACTTGGTGTTGTTTGAGTCATTTTACCACCACGGTCTGCTCCTCCTTGTGTGACTATGCTGGTAGTCTCTTTTGTTGGTACATTAGTACTTGTTAGAGTAGTAGCCACTGTGCCTCCAGGCTGTGAAGAGTAACAAACATCCTTTGGTTGTAAACATTTCATCCTGTAATCTGCCTGATTTCTGTTTCACTCATTGAATATGAAGGCATCTGACTCTGTACAGCAGTAGTTTCTGATTCAAAAGGCTTCCTGTGAGGAGTCTTTGTAGTTCAAGTGAGTTATTTTTTGATGTGGGAAGCCATGTCTATAGACTGTGAATAAAAAAAATAAAGGTGACTGTAGCCACCGTGGTATCACCCAGTGGTTTTAGAAGTCTTATTTCGAAGGCTTGAGTTGAAAACTTTTCTAGGCGCCATCTTGTTTTTTTGAAATTTGATGTCACCATTGAAGGATGAGTCTGGATGTGAAACCGAGCTCACTGCATACTCGTGCAGAAGCCACAACCTAATTCATACACTCCTTTCTCATCTATTTTACTCAAATTAGACTATAAATTTAAAAAAGGACATTATGTTGAGTCCAATATGACTTTAAACTAGCATCAGAGTCCATAAACTCCGGAAACAAAGCTCCCCACTGGAGTTTCTGCACCGGAAGTAGCATATGCTAACGTGCACATAGTCAATTGTGTTGCTAGGACTGATTGGAGGCAAATTTCATTTCAAAAGACTACTCGAGGGAAGCCTTGGTAAAAGCATGGTTTTGTACAAAGTGTGCAAAACGGAGTTTACATACCATCGAAGCACTTCAACCTTATGGTACCATCTAAATGCAAAACATGTTGCAGCGAGCGCAGAAACTGTGGGAGCTGTTAGCGCTAGCAGTCCAAGTACCAACAAAAGGTGTCGGCAGCCCAAACTTCAGGCTTCAGGACCAATATTAGTAAGTCAACAAACTTTGGATGGATTGCTCTGGACTGTAGACCACTATCAGTGGTAGAAGATGTAGAAGAAAATGTGCTACAGTTAGCGTCAGGTGATCCAACTTTCTAACTGCCATGGCGAAAGACTATTTTAAGTAAAATTCAACAGCTTTTTGACATTAATAAATGAGCAAAATTAGATGCATTACAGACAGCCCTGCTAATATGGAGGAACTACACCAGGAACAAACAAGACTGGGGCAACAGAAAGAGCCACTCATACAGGATGTTTTCACACTGTGGAATTCAGCCCTGGATTTGGTTTCTCGTCTACTAAAGAATCAAGAGGCTGTTTTTACTGCTTTAGACAAACAAAAGCACAAGCTACCTTAGTCATTTTAACTCCATCAGAGCTGGTAAAACTCCTAAAGCTGCCGACTGTCCTTGAGCCATGCAGGTAAATAATACTATTTTTAACAGTTTCTTCAAAAAGCCCTATAGTTACAGTTATTATGTGGATAAATAATGAATTTCTTGAACTGTGTACTACCGGTTTGTGACTGAGCTTCTTGGAGGTGAGACATGTGTCTCATGTTCAGTGGTTTTACCTGCTTTCTGCCGCCTGCATCACAACATGGTCTCTGATGATGACTCAAACTACATGGTGAAATTTAAGATTGCCTTCACAAAGGATCTATCCCAATGTGTAGCTACACTCAAGCATCAGTGGCTCAAGATAGCTATTGTGCTTGACCCACGCTTTAAGGACTTCACATGTCTTGCAAGGGTAGAGCGAGAAGAGGCTTGGACCAGCCTTGAGGCCCTGACAGACTGTCCACTGCAGTGGTGGTCCAGTCGAGCAGGGACCTACCCACAGCTGTCTGTCCTGGTATTTGATTAGTGCTGCCACTTCTGTCCCATGTGGGAGACTGTTCTCATTTGCAGCTCACATAGTAACAAAAAAGA